CATTGTTGTCCATAGCTTGTCATGATCCACACAATTGAAAGCCTTTGCGTAGTCAAAAAAGCACAGGAAACGTCTTTCCGATATTCTCTGCTTCCAGCCAAGGTCATCAGATTAGGTGCTAGTAAGTTGCTTCCAACTCATAGTGACCCTGTATATAGCAGAAAAAAACACTGGCTGATCCTAGCTATCCTCACATTTGTTGTTATGTTTGAGCCCATTGTTACTGCCACTTTAAAGTTTTTATTGTGAATTGAGAGATAGTTTACATGGGAGAACATCAGTTTTACACTCATCGTTTCATTGCAATGATTACAATGTCCTCTGTGCATCATCATTCAACAGTATTTGCTTCTATTCCCTCTGTTTAGTTTTGTGTGTGTGTGTAGGAGTGGAGGGATGTACACAAATACACTTGTTGTTGTGTGCTGTGGAGTCGGTTCCAACTCATAGCGACCCTGTACAGGGTTTCCGGGGCTGTAAATCTTTACGGGATCAGAAAGCTTCATCTTTATCCTTTGGAACAGCTGGTAGTTTTGAACTGTTGACCGTGAGATTAGCAGCCTGATTCATAACCATTATGCTACCAGAGCTCCTTTAGGAATATATAGTCATTTAAACAACCAAAGGGCACATTCTGCAATCCTGTCTCCTGGCCGCCAGCATATAGCCTTTCTCTTTCCATGAGTCTAGAGTCTTCATATGCTCTATCTCTCCATGTCCTCACCTCTGCCTCCATCTCTGGTGTCGCTGCTTCTCTGGATAGGGTCCCACATTCTACTTCTGCTTTTCTTCCTCTTCAAGGTATATTTGTTTGTTCTGGTAGTCCAGAACAACAATAGTTCATATTCTTCTATAATACCTTAATTAAATGCATTAGGTTTTTTATGGTCTTCCTTATTCATTGTTTAACTTTTGCATGCATGTAATGTGATTGAAAGTATCATGGATTGGTTCTGGAGCACCTTAATCTTAAGACTAGTATCTTTGCTCTTTAACTCTTTGTAGAGTTTTTATTTATTTATTTATTTATTTTGCAGCAGATTTGCCCAATTCAGTGCACCATTTGACTTCTTGTCTGCTGCTTCCATGAGTGTTGATTTTGAATCCAAGCAAAATGAAGTCTTTGACAACTTCAATCTTTTTTCCAGTTACCATGTTATTTATTGGTCTAGTTGTGAGGATTTTTGTTATCTTTACATTGAGATGCAACCCATATTGAAAACTCTGCTCCATTCATGTCTTTAAGGTTAACTCTACTTTGAGGAGGCAGTTCTTCTTTAGTCATCTCTTTGCATGCCTTCTAGCCTGAGAGGCTCATCTTCTGGCACTGTATCTGGTAATGTTCTCCAACTATTCATATGGTTTTCAGTTGCTAACCATTCAGAAGTGGTCTACCTCTCCTTCTTCCTAGTCTTTCTTAAGGCTGTAAACTCCGTTGAAACCTGTCCACCATGGGTGACTCTGCTTGTATTTAAGATACCAGTGGCTTAGTTTTCAGCATCACCTAATCACACAAGCCAAACTGACTGACTTGTGGTGGGAATTAAGCGAAGGTTTCGGAAATTAAAATGAAATGAATTTGAAAGATGAAATGAAGGAGCTTTCAAGAAAGTAGAGTGAATACCAAGAAATAAGAAGAAATGAGGACTCTGGGGGATCAGTGTAAAAGATGTAGCTCAGTGTCACTGCTCAGAATGAGGCGCTGCTCTGGAGAGGACTTAACACAGCGGAAGGGCCGAGTTTCCAGAGAGAAGAGGCCACTGCTTGTCCAGTACAAGGATAGAAATAGCTCTGTTGGCAGCACATTTCTGTGAAAATTCAGAACTCTGAGAGTCTCTAAGAGGAAGTGCCTTGAAAATATCTATAGGAGGAAAACTAGTTGCCTTACAGACATGTGTCTTCTTAGCAGCAAAACCATTATCTTCTAAATTAAATAAAGAATTCCAAACTTAAGCTCTAGCTCCAGCCTGACTAGCAGTGAAGTGTAAGAGTAGTATAAGGTGTTTTCAAATATGCAACATCTCAAAAACATCTGTCTCCTCTGTACTATTATTAGGAAGCTACTAGCAAAAGTTTCTCATCAAAATAGGACACAAAGGGAAAGATTGAATCCCAGGATTGGGCACTCCAGTGACAGAAGTAGTTGAGTCTCTGGAAGGTACTGTACACATGGCTGAGTAATGAGTTTGGGAGCCCTGGTGTGGTGCTGTGGATTAATGTGCCAGACTGCAAAGCCATTTGAACTGCAAGGTCAGTGGTTCAAACTCACCAGCTGCTCCTAGGAAACCCTATACAGGGTCGCTATGGGT